AAATATAAATCCTTTACAAGGATCCCCCATGAAGGAAACTGAATCGATAAGCAATGATAGGGTATGTGATGCGAGAAACAACAATATTAAACTTTTTCATATTATTATATGATTTAATCTGTGGGCAACCCCCTCTGTGGCTCAGTGGTAAGAGGGCCTACCTTTAAACCTAAAGGTCGTGAGTTCGAATCTCATCTGGGTGGAGAAATTTTCGTTTATTAAAAATTAATGAATGAAAATAATTTCTATCCTTGTGCGATCGGTACTCACCGGAGGGACCGCAGACGTTCGAATACAATTTATAGCAAAGACAATGACGTCGACTTTGCTAAGTATCAAGACAATTACTCTACACACACACACACACTACACTAGGTACCTGACTGTACCATGCCAATGATCATATTTGTCGATGCATTAACTCAATAATAAAATAAAAAATCTGTTGGCACCATTCTGTTTTTATTTTTATTCGCAGTTTGGCCTGTACCTATTTTATTATTTTGTCATACAATAAATATCAGATAGTAATGACAGCAGTTAAGAATTTATTAGCGGTTTTGTGTGCGTACCTATTTAATAAAATGAAAAACGTCACCGTCGAATCAAAAACTGATGTCACGTCAGGCGTCACACATGATAAAACGTTTGAGTTTACGAGCTGTAATCAAATAATAAATACAGATATAAAATTCATTAACTACCTTCAGGATAACCTGATTCTAAAATTTTTGCGTGAATGCATTTCCAAATAACAAATAAACACAGATATTCATCACAAGGGATAGTATTATTACATTAAAACTTTGAAAACAATTTCGTTTACATTTGTCCTTGCTTTGATGTTTTTAAAACAAATCCATTAATAATTGCCTTGATAAAAACACGTTCGTTAAAACTGTTCGAGAATGCTATAGAATAATCGAGATTGTAGTTTTATAATTACCGGATTAATTTCAAAAATGAATACGAAAAAGATCATTAGACTAGCTGTTGTTAGACTTATGTATTTGAATCATTCGTAATTAATTTTATGTTTAGTATATAATATATATTATTTATACAGTTTCCTAAACGGTATGCTAATGCTTAATTTGGATATCATAAAACATTTGGGGTCGTATGGTAAACATGCCTTCTTAGCCAATAGAAAGTTTAGAGTTAAAATAGAGTACGTCCTAATTTAAGTCGGAATTGTTGAGGCTAGAGTCACCCTTTCTGTATACCATCTACACCGCGGTTACACCAACCACCCCACGAACCATGCTGAGTCTATATGCCGATCACATTAGCAACACTGGAAGAATGGTGAAATCAATGAAAAATTGCAGTAAACCCAGAGAGAAGTCACAAGCATGTTCCAAAAAGATTCGGAAGTCCAGACCGTTAAGTGAGGGTGTTCAATACACAAATAGAATTGTCCAACCAGGAAAAATACTTATGGAGTTCAACTTAATGGATAAAGAATGACAAACATCACATTTAACAGCGCTACCACTAAGAGCAACACATTAAGAAGCACGCTAAGATCTCTTACTGGAAGAAATGGAAATATGACTTTGAAAACGAAGTTAGGAACACCAAACAGCATTATGATACTAGCCGTAACATATTGATCAGTAGCTTGGGACCAAATCTATAAAGCCAACAGTAAGAAGATCCAAATAGTTCAAAACCTTATTATAAGAGAGATTGTGACGTATCCGAAAGATTCTTATAAAGAGAAATCAACGAGGTAAGGATCTTAGATAAAATAAATGAAAAAGCGTATTGAATCATCTACGAACTAAGAAACCATCCAAGGCAAAGTGTAAGGAACTTAGTCTACGAATAGACTGGCAAGGTACAGAAGACCCAGACACCAACTAATAGGCAATCAACCCAATAAGTGAAGAGATAAACATGAAAAGTTCACATAGCAGTAAACGGGACTCTAAAGGTTGGCACTGCACTGGACCTGGCGAGTGAAGTAATTAGAATAGACTAGGTAATCATATATTATATGAATATAGATTTAGAGAGAGACCCTAATACACGCGAGCCATGTGAGAGCACTATATTACACCTAGGAAGTAGGTCAAGTACTACTACTTCACACGATTTCTTCTTCTTCAAGTGCCCTGTCCGTTGCGAACGTTGGCTATTAACATGGCAATTTTGATCTTGTTTGCGGCGCTTCTGAATAGTTCGACCGATGTGAGCCCGAACCACTTCCGCAGATTTTGGAGCCACGAGTGTCTTCTCCTGCCTGGCCCTCGTTTACTGTTTATTTTTCCATGGACAATCAATTGTAGCAGACGGAATTTATCGTGTCTCAATATGTGGCCTAGATATTCAAGCGTTCTTTGTCTGATTGTATTCACGATTTCTTTCTCCTTTCCGATTCTTTGGAGTACCTCTATGTTGGTGACATGTTCGGTCCAGGATATACGAAGAATCCGTCGGTACACCCACATTTCGAATGCTTCTAGTTTTCTGTCACACGATTTAGTCAACTTTTTTTTGTGAGTTTTAGGTTATCCAAAAGAAGATCGTCATTTTTTTCACGAATACCCCAGATGGAACAACCGCGATTCCTAAGCATTGAGGTCGTGCACCTTTAGGGATGGGATTGACCTTTCAGATAGGCGAGGTAGGCAAAATCGGTTTGGCAAATCAGCATCCGCTCGTGCTCGTTCGGCACACTCTAGCGACCAGGTTGTGCGCATATTCCATAGCTCATCTGAATCATTCCATGTTCTTTACAAAACATGTATAGTCCAGGCTGTGAGGCCGCTCCCGTTGGGAAAATGTTTCTGATTCGGTTTCTTCGCGGATTCCGGTTCAAAAATGTCCCCTTTAAACAAATCTGAAGGATGCCGGGTGAAATTTTTGGGCAGAAATTGTTTAAACAATTTTTTTTAAACAAATTCCAAAAATATTTTTTTAATCTCGAAAACGTTTTTTTTAGGTTTTTTGGGTCATTTTAAACAAAAAAGGTCTCTTGTCGTTTTTCTCTAAAGTTGATAGTTTTCGAGTTATAAGCGATTTAAAGTCTGAAAAACGCGAAAATACGCATTTTTGAGGCTTGAAAACACATATGTAAATTATTATTTTTGAGGTTACCAAGTGTCTAAATTGAAGTTTAAACATTCAACTTCAAGATTGTGAAGAGTAATCGGGGCTTATTTTAATTTAGACCGTTGTTTTTTAATTGTTAAATATGCGCGTACACTCGATTTTTCAGCCGCCGGCGCCGCGGCGCGGCGCGCTAGAGTGCGCTTCTATCGTACTTATGCATAGTTTACATATACACTTACGAAAAAAAATTCGAACAAATCCTTGAAGTTTATTAACATAGTTTTTTCCATAATTTATTTATGTAGGTATTAATTATTGTCATTGGGCTAATTAAATAAATCAATCATCGCAATGTAATAACCGTATATAGTTTTTTTTTCTTTTTTTTATAGTTTATTTTTAAATTAATATTTAAATAATACAATGCAGTAAATATTAATATTAGTAAACTTAATTTTAAATTGCGCGGTATTTAAAAACAATATACTATCGCAAAAATGCAAGTTTTTACCTGTTTAACAATCGCGCGCTCATACTTGATTTGTCATTACTTAAACGATCATTAGGAAGACTGTTGTTTAATGCCCATTAAAAGGGTATTATATTATAAATGTGTTATTAAAAAAATTGTGAATGGATTTAAAATGTCTTTTTCCGTACTTCTTGTTAAATGAAAACTTATCGAAGAAAATTTAGTTTGTATTTTTTGTAATAACATCAACAATATTAAGTTAGTGCAAAAACCTAAAGTAGATTTTTACATAACAATACAAAATGCTGCTCTTCAACGAAAAGACAGTGTGACTGAAAAATTTAATTTAATCTAGCCAATATACCTTGTACCCCTGACGCACTTTACCAACACTTGTTAAGAGCTTTCGCTAAAACATATATTTAGCGAAATGCCATATATTCCCGCTATGAAACTCTCGATTTTACACAATATGGATATTATATGTCTGATAGTGGTGGGTTGGGAAACCGTGCAAATGCAAAAAGACTTGCAAACCTAATGCTTGCAACTGCAAGAAAAATCATGTCAACTGTGTACCATTATGTGGATGTGATTTAGATTTTTGTGAAAACAAAGATACTTTTACTGAGTGATATTAGTGTGTTATTTAACAATCTTTTGTACAATTATTTTATGTAACTATTATTAGACTTTAGATGAAATTTATATAATAACTCAATTGATATAAATAAATATGTACTCAATAAATAATAATTATTTGTAAGTATATGTAAACTATGCATAAGTACGATAGAGGCGCACGGTAGCGCGCGGCGCCGCGGCGGCTGAAAAATCGAGTGTACGCGCATACTTAACAATTAAAAAATAACGGTCTAAATTAAAATAAGCCCCGATTACTCTTCACAATCTTGAAGTTGAATGTTTAAGCTTTAATTTAGATACTTGGTAACCTCAAAAATAATAATTTACATATGTGTTTTCAAGCCTCCAAAATGCGTATTTTCGCGTTTTTCAGACTTTAAATCGCTTATAACTCGAAAACTATCAACTTTAGAGAAAAATGACAACAGACTTTTTTGTTTAAAATGGCCCAAAAAACCTAAAAAAATGTTTTCCAGATTAAAAAACAATTATTTTTGGACTTTGTTTAAAAAAATTGTTTTAAAACAATTTTCTGCCCAAAAATTTCGTCCGGCACCCTTCAGATTTGTTTAAAGGGGACATTTTTGAACCGGAATCCGCGAAGAAACCGAATCAGAAACATTTTCCCAACGGGAGCGGCCTTACAGCCTGGACTAGTATGCAAAAAGGCAAAATTCTATACTTGTTACTTGTTCCTACATTTGAAAAGTTGTTCTTAAATATACGAGAATATTATATTATGTAATTTCACGTAAATGTATTAATTAGACTTCGATGTAGAATGCAGTATATATAAATTGTCTATATAATTTTTGATACTTACAGCGTGTAAATGTTCTAATGCCAATATAATTTCCCCTATGTAAATACGAACTTCATCTTCTGTGAAATGATCTCTTTGGTACAAATGAGTAAACAGCTCTCCTCCCGCTACGTAATCTGAAAAAAAAAAGAACAAGGTAGTATAAATTTATAAATACGTGGAAGACACAAGGGGAATTCTTAAGTACATAATTCAAAAACTCATTTCAACAAATATTTTAATTTATTAGGCTGACTGTACGTTTACAAATAAACTAGTATTTAGAAAAGCCTATTTGGGAAACGATTGCGAAAGGATAAAAAATCCACATCGGTTCTTGGAAAGCATTGTATGCGTCTATGAATCCATAATAGATAATTCCTGCAAGCAGATGATTATCATAAACAACAATTGACCTTGTACAATAATATTGTTGTAGCCTTGCTAAAAATAAACCAAAGGCACGAGTATTTCAATTTTTTATTGAAATATTTCTATATTTAAGATGTACATTTTATTCACGAGACGTACCAAATAACTTACTTCTATAAATAAAAAATCGTCAAAATCTATTATTAAAAAATTCATTAATGGCCGAAATTAGTGCATATTTTATATATTTCCGGTTTGGTAGGTTGCATATATTTTTTCTATATTTTCATAATGCCATTTTTTTACAAATATTTGTAACGGAAAGAAAATGTAGATACTCTTACCTAATAGCATATTTTATACGAGCTCGTATTTTGACTTGGTGGATAAGATCGTTTGCTATACAGCAACCAAGACACTGGAATCTTTGGGCGGGTTCTATCTAGTTGTATACAAATATTATTAATGTCGGCATTTGGTGTAAGGCTAACACTCATTACTTTAATTTTATTTGTGTTTATTTTGAGCCCTAAAGTATCAGCTTCTCTGGTTATGACATTACGAAGTCGTTGCAAGCCCTCAGCCGAAATAGAAAGTTTTTAAATAAAACGAAATAGAGTCTCGTTTTACGAGATATTCAGCTGTTGGTCGGCAAAGAATGTGCAAAATGCTATGCCCAATGTTGCTTCTTTGCTAGAGTAGTAAAGGTGGCATTTCATCATAAGCAGATACAGATCTTGTTATGTTAGGTGGAGGTGGCCTTAATGCTGATATGTACATGGTAACAATGCAGATTTTGTTATTCGGATACTAGCCTGGACTCCTTAAAAGTCCAGACCATAAAGCATTTATCGGATAACTTGGAAGAGTGGTACGGCAAAATTATGGTAAAACTCTGGTAGCATTAGAACCTGAGCAGATAAGCAGAGAATGTGGGAACAAATAACGCAAAATAAGATTGCTGGTTTGATCCACTCAATGCCAGAAAGGATTAGAGCTGTTATTCGAGCTCAAGGAGGAAATACGCGATTTTAATATCCATATTTTAGAATATGCTATGATTTCGATTTCAAAATTATCTTACTAATAATATTTTGTAATATTTTCTTGTTAAATTAATCAATCAAATAGTTCCATTGGAATATTTTCTCCCTTTGCTGCTCATATCAAAAGAGCAGCATCTGATTACAGCCGTATTACGATTCTCCAAAAATTTTCAGCTGTTTCCATTTTATGGAAGTCTCTATAAGTGTGACAGCTAACCTGGATGTCCGGCCCATAAAATGCATGCATCACTTGATTAGGTTGTACAGACAGATTCCTTCCAGATACAGTATGTTGTTTTAACACTTGTGTCAGGTTTAAAAGTTGTACCAAAGTTTTATTTATCTGTGAGCATTCTAGTAGTAAAATTCAAACCTGCAATAAATATCTGTACATTCCAATAATCTCACTGAAAGATGTGGACCAAAGGTGGTTCACAGACTGTGAAATTTTCATATTGTCAACAAGTGTGGACCACAAGACTCACATAAATTTGAATACAGATTTTGACTGTAAACCACTTGCTTACCAAGGGAGGGGGTCAAGGGGTTATGACCCCCCTACCCCAACAAAAATAAATATCAATCAAATAATCCTATAAAAGCTATTTTGCTTATATAATCCGTCATGCCGACTTTGTCAACAACCTGCGCTACATAAAGAAAAATTGCGGAACAGAATTTTCCTTCCCCTAGAGTTTTTTTTTAATATTACTGTTATGAAAATCACCCTCAAGATCCATGATCCCATGAACCCACCCCCAATCAGTTAAATCCTATATCAAATCTCTCTATACCCCCTAAACTCTATATACTCTGACCTCCTAAAGCCTATATCAAAATCACCTTCAAGACCCATGACCCCCCTCACAATAATTTCTGGATCCTTAAACGTTAATTAATTTTGGTACAAGCAGCAAAGGGAGAAAACATCCCAATGAAAACTATTTGATTAAAACATTTTTTATAATTAATTAATCAATATTTCAAAACTTGTTTTTTATTTTGTGGTTTGTTATTGAACATGCAATAAATAACATTTGTAGAATTTAAGTTTTTCTACTAGTTTTTAATTTTACTTGGAATAAATATAATAATAATAATAGTGTGCGGTTGAAGGGCAGTGTATTTAGTTAGAATAGAATAGAATATTCTTTATTAATCCCATCAGATCACATTGTGATATAGGACAAGTCATATAGTACATAAAGCATGATCAACAAGTTATATAGGACAATTACATAAAACAAGATCAATAAAATATAGATTAATATAAAAATAAAAAAAAAGATATGCAATATAGAGCGTCCCTGAACCCGTCGGTCCTCATTCCCTGTAGTCTTTTATTAAGTCAAAATAATTATTTAGGTTGTAAACGCATAATTGGATTAGGCATGCTTTTAATTTATTTTCGAATTTTTGAATATTATTTTCATTTCTTATATTAAGTGACAAACAATTGTAAAATTTAGATCCTGCAAAATCAGGACTAGTTTCAAAGAGAGTTGTGGAGTGTTTACACACGCTTATTAACCTCCCGTGTCTTGTCGGGTAATTATGAAAGTCAGATTTGAGGGTAAAATTTTGAAATTTAGTTTTGACGTGAATAATACACTTATAAATATATAAAGCATGAAAAGTCAACAGCCTGTGTTCGATAAAATATCTAAGACATGATTGTCTATTATCAATATTGAATATCAATCTAAAAATTCTGTTTTGAGTTATAAAAACTGTAGAAGAGTTTCTAGAGTGTTCCCACAAGACAACATTATAGGCCATATATGAATAAACCAATGCATAATACACACTTATCAATTGATTGGTGTTAAATAGAGTTTTCACCTAAAGGATCGCGTAGTAACTCTTATTCATTGTTTTGCAGACTTTAGTGACATTTTCATCCCATGTCATATGACTTTCTAGAATGCTACCAAGAAATAATGTTGTATCACTAAAAGGTATTTCCTCAGAACTAACTGTGATATTATAACCATGAGATGTCTTACAGCGCGAGTAGAACTGCATACAAATAGTTTTCTTTGCATTTACCATTAAGGAATTCCTTTTACACCAGGTTGTAAACTCCTGTGCTACTAAGTTCATTTTTGATATGAGTTCGACTTCAGTTGACTCGTCAACTACAATTGTTGAATCATCTGCATAAAGAACTGTATGGTCTGCAGTTAAAAAATTTGTCAAATCATTCACATATAAAAGAAATATTAAGGGTCCCAATACGGAGACTAGATTAAAACAGATGACTTCTTATTATCGACTCTTACTTGAAATTCACGATGTTGTATGTATGACCTTAACCAGTTCAAGAAATAAACCCGAAAACCAAGGGCTTCTAATTAGAGTCAAAAGCCTTAGTTAAGTCAAAAAAGGGTGCACCCACATACCTTTTTCGATCCAAAGCAGTGTTTATATTTGATACTATTTGTTAAAATGTGAGCTTTCCTGTGGCGTTGTTGTTCTAATAGTATATTAACAGTGTAGGAAACAAGATATCTCGGCATCGATAAAACTCTATAACTGTAAACTAATGATTTTATCGAAATCTCAGTTAATTACATAACAATATGGAAGTCGAGAAATTTATTATCCTTATTAGTCTCTAAATAAGTGTTATTTGACGTTGCGATGGGAGCATATCACATGAAACGTGATTTCTGGTCGGTTCTATGATTTTATAGGTAGTGCGTGAAACTTCAGCTCGGTTGACGTTCTTAAGATTCGAATTTACATTTTTAATCGATAACTGTTCCGTTACTTCCTTTACTTTTAACGGTAATCCTCAAGAAAACGCATAGTACATTTCGGTTTCGGCCTGGAAGTAAACAAACATGAAAAACAACCTTTAGAAATTATTGTGATTCAGTTTTCACTATGGCTCTGCACATATCTCTCAGTCCCTACATACAGTGGGTGATTAAATTATTATGATCAGTCACGAAAGTTTTAAGTTTATTAAATTTTTTCAAAAATTATATAATAAAATCATATGCTGCTGTACGATTAAGGTATGCCAATATATTTTGTCACTAATAACCTTACTTTTTTGACGTTTACAGCTCTGGAACTGTCATTTGTGTCAAATTACGACACAACATACACATTGTGGTGAATTTGCGCTTGGAGTTTACAACTGAATTTGTATGTTTTTGTATTGTTTTTGAAAGATTAGTATCGTTTTATCTTTGTAGTATCTTTTATTAATGTATTAGTGGTAATTGTGAGTGATTAAAAATATTAGTTTTAATTTTAAAGACATTTTGAAAACATTTCAATTTTTGAGAAGAAAATCATAATGGGTAAGGCTAAGGACGTTCCTGTGTTTAAAATGGTGGAGATAAAGACACTTTTATTGAATACAAAGCTTTCCCAACGTCAGATAGCTCAACAATGCCAAGTAGCGCAAGCAACAGTGAGCAATATCAAGAAAAATTGATACCAACAAACACCTAAACCACCATGTGGTCGAAAGCGTGTCACTACACCCAGAGACGAAAGAAAATAAGGGATATCTTCTTAAACAATAGAAAGAAGCCAAGAAGAATCCTCACGGGACTTATTCGTGAAGCTGGGATGCCAGTTTCTGACATGACAATCCGCTGAAGGCTTGCTGGGCAAGGTTTCAAATCATAACGTCCTGCCAAAAACCATCGCAATGACGAAAAAGAGACTGGAATGGGCCAAAGAACACCAAAATTGGACAATTGAGAATTGAAATAAGGTAAATTACGTCACTACTAAAGTTAATAACTGTTATAACTGCTGTTTTTATCCTAAAAAAATATCGAAATATGGTTTGGCGAATCGAAAGATTTTTATCTTTATGCACGATTCAGTACTGTGCCATAAGGCAAAAACAAGAACATCGTACCTGGAAAAAAAGAAAATTTCGTGTAACCTTCTGGCTAAGGTCTAGTGTTAGGGTTTTCAGCTCAGTTAAATTAGAAATTTAGTCGGTCCGGGATTCGAACCCGGGTCCTCCAGCTTGTTAGGCCAGTAACATAGCCACTAAGCTACGGCTGCCATCGCTGCCACAAATAAGAAGCAGTTACTTAATTGAGAAACTCATTGCCACCTGGCACAGAAAAGATAAAATAAAAGAAGACTGCCTGAGAAACATTCAAAGCATGCCAAGGTGGATCAAAGCCTTCATCGAAGCAAAAGGAGGTCACACAAAATATTAAAAAATTATTATTTAAGGTCAAAGAAAAAATATTTTAAAATTTTGTAAAACAACGTGTTTATGAACTATTTTTTATTATATTCACATCATTAGAGGCTTACTGGGATGAC